TAACCTAACGTAAACCTAACGTAAACCTAACCTAATGTACTCGGGTAGCATTAGGGTGGTTAATATTCAGGTGAAATAAGTTGGGGTGTCTATTTTTCAGTTGATCCAACAAAAGGTTACAAACAGTCACATAATTGAAATGTTCCATCATCTCTCTCTCTCTCTCTCTCTCTCTCTCTCTCTCTCTCTCTCTCACTCAGAAAATTATGATTAGAAACAATCCATCTCCTTCAACATAATGTAGGAACGTAGTAGTAGTAGTAGTAGTAGTAATAGTAGTAGTAGTAGTAGTAGTAATAGTAATGATTGGTACTGTAGCCTCACCTTCTGGCCAAGGCACTGTATGTATCACTGTATAGATGGGTAGAACATCTCATTGGCAGTCTGGTGGTGTGGTAGTGGAGGCAAGTGGCGAGTTGTTACTGGGAATACAGAAGGCGGCCCACCCACCCTTCCAACTTTTACCCCTCATGAGACGCTTCACCAGTCAATATCTTCTTTGGGGGGGGTACGTGTGTATTAAAAAGTATGAAAATAAAAATAGATATAAAAACTACAAGGGAGGGTTGCTTAAATTATCCTATTGAAGGGGAGAAGTCATCTTATGGAAGGGTTAAGTCATTGCATTGAAGGGGTTGAGTCGTCGTATTGAAGGGGTTGAGTCGTCGTATTGAAGGGGTTAAGTTATCATATTGAAGGGGTTAAGTCATCGTATTGAAGGGGTAAAGTCATCGTATTGAAGAGGTTAAGTCATCGTATTGAAGGGGTAAAGTCATCGTATTGAAGGGGTTGAGTCGTCGTATTGAAGGGGTAAAGTCATCGTATTGAAGGGGTTAAGTCATCGTACTCAAGGGTTTAAGCTTCACCTCAGCTAACACTCCTCATCCACCTGCACCTCATTCTCCCCCACCTCCTCATCGACCTCCACCTCATCTAACACTCCTCATTCTCCCCCACCTCCTCATAACCGCACCTCATCCAGCTCCACATCAGCTAATAACTCTTCCTCGCCTCTGCCCTCTTGACTCAAGTTTACTGTTAAGGTCATTGTGTACAGAAGTCGTCACGTCAGCTCCTCAGACAGTCTTTTGTTGTTGACGGGTGAGCGGCAACAAGGACCGCTACTCCATGTTCGCGCCGCTGGCTCTCTTTTTTCTGTGTCTTGGCACAAAAAACATTAAAAAAGTATTCGACAACTTGATGAATGTTGCTGAAATACGAGACGATGTAAAAGAAAAAAGTAATGAATGAAAATGGTTTAAATAATTGTTCTGCTCACTTGTATGAGGAAGTTTCGGTTCTTAAGGATTAGAAATGCAATTCTTAGAACGTATTATGGAAAATATTGAAGGAGTGTTAGTCGTCCAGCTCTGCCCACACCAAGTTATGAGGGCAAGGTCACGACTCATCACGAGAAACTGCACAGTTCATTACTTCTTTTGAATTAAAACATTGCGTGTGTGTGAGGGTCTGTCAGTGTCTAGTTTTTCTGTCTTTAACCAACATAGATAACTTGTGTTTTATTATTATAAAATAATGGAAGTCGGATCATATTTGGTAAAATTTGCTGTTTTTCAGTAAAGACCTTTTACTATAATTATATCCTTAAATTATATCTGTTTTAGGGAAGGTTAGGTGTAAGTTTGTTTAGTAATGAAGCTGTTCATTTATTCATATATATATATATATATATATATATATATATATATATATATATATATAAATAATACACACTTGTGTGTGTATTACAGTGAGAATCAAAAGTGTGGACTCATTAGCAGTTAGCACTTTTATGTCATCAAATGTTTGGACTGCATGATTGTTAACAGGACTGAGGTGTTTCTGAATAAAGACACGACGATGATACCGGTCGGTCGAGAGACTGGGGTAGTGACTGACCACCGTAAATCACACACACACCTTGGCTGAAGATTGGTTAGTGTGTGTCGTTTGTTTAGCCTCTCCAGCTCTCTGGTTAATATATTCTATACTCTACTCGAGCTCGGCTGGTATATAGGGGCGTCCATGATGTGGGGTCCAAGTCTGAGTTGTATACATTTGCGACATTAGAAAAATCAATTATATACTTCTTGCTCAGTGTAAAAAAAAATCCTTCTGGTTTTTCTTAGAATGGCGGAGGAGTGAAGAACCACAGGCCCTTAGAGCCACTGAGTACCAAGGCGTGCTGAAGACTGTACCCACAACTGTATCCTGCTGTCCTTCTGTTTGTGGTAAGTTCTTGTCTTTTGCTGTACTTTACGACTCGCTACTGTATTTCTCATTGCTTTAGGAAATATATGCATAATACAGGAGGCAAGAAAGACTTTTTATGGAAAGGAAAATGTCAGAACCTATCATAATTTTTTTCTGGTTGCTTTAGAAAGTGGGGTTATCCAGGTTGTTTTAGGAGTGACCAGTGGCGGCTATTGAAAAATAAAATGGAGGGACTGCAAGCCTCACACAACAGTAGGATACACAAATTTGACCTACCTCAGGTATGAGTTGTAGTTGATGTCAGCTGGGAAAAGTTGATGTTTTGCAAATACTTCACTCGATTTTCCATCGTCAAAGGGTAATTAAAGAAAGCACGATTTAACCACACCGTCCACACGTTGTACGAGACTGAGCTGCTTCAAGTGCGGCGGCGGCGGCCAATTAATAACAGACATGAATCGTACAGCATTGACAGCAACTATGAAAGTAACTTAAATTTTGGTCTGATTTTAATGAAAATTCACTTAGCAACGTATTGAAAATAATTAAATAACATATAAAATGATATATTTGTTGGTAGTGTATTATTCAGCTGTCTCTCTAAAGGAATCATACGCCTGGCAGTGAGTGTCTGGGGGGACTGCAGCCCTATGCACGAGCCGCCACTGGGAGTGACTATACACTTCACCAGAAACTGAAGCTTATTTCACCTATTTATTAAACATTCTAACGCTACCGGAGGGGGGGGGGGTAGGTGGTCTCAATTAACCCCACATTGAGTGATCGTTTTAAGGAGTAAGTAAATAATTTAGGAATAATTACACAGTCTAAAACGATTAGTCACCCCAGCTTATTTTACTTTAAGATAAATCACCCTAACGTTACCTTGGGAATTAGGTTAGGTTAGCGTAGGTCTGTTTAGTGTTAGGATAGTTAATCTTAATGGTAGAATAAGCAAGGGGTGTCTAATCTTACGATGATCCGGAGAAAATTTTGACAATTTACCTCAGTTTTATCGATTGTTTCGTTGATTACTTACACAATTCAGAAGGAAGGAAATACAACGAACAGCCGAGTTTTTTTTTTATAATATGAAAAAATGAAATACTGAACGTATAAATTTGCAACGCCTGGCATAGCTTGTGATTGTGTTGGTAGCCTCGTAAAGTACTTTATTTATCGTATTCATATGTGAGTTATTAGTGTTATCATGTATTCCGTTGTCAGCCATCATTACGACAGAGGTACTGGACATCACTATCCCTCTATGCATATGACAGCAAAATTTCTATCCCGTCGTTGTGAAGATCTGATACGCAGTGTATATACATATTTTCCTCACAGTGCTAAAAGAAAGCACAAATATACAGTTTTTGGAATCCTATCAAATAGAAATGTTACTCATAAAAAAAGCAATCATAGAAAACGATTGTTTCATGAGTAACTATTTTTGATGTCATAACTATAGCCAATAAATTTAATATATATACTATATATATATATATAAATATATATATATATATATATATATATATATATATATATATATATATATATATATATATATATATATATATATATATATATATATGTGCGTGCGTGTGTGTGTGTGTGTCAATTTACTGTATAGTATCACACCGTTCTAAATTTTTATATTAAAATGGGTTTTTCCTTTGGTTTATGATGAGTTTCCAACGAATTTGATATCCATTTCCTCCGGAAATCACTTGTTTTTAGATCCCCCAACAATCATAACGAAAAAAGTCGGATTTCCTTTCTTTTTCGAATAAATCAAATAAATAAAATACTAACCAACCAACCAACACAACCTTACCTAACCCCCCATTCTTCATGCCCCACATCTTGCCTTTAATCTGTAAAACTATTGTGACACTGCCAAATATGCTGCTCTTCAGGCAGTGTACACTGTTATTACACTTTGAACAAAGAACTATATTCGGTAATAGTATACCGTGTTTTCTAAAAAAAAAGAAATTGCTTCACTATTTTTCTTTGTGTAACTTTGAATTGATGCTAATTAATCATTTTCACAATGTCGGCACAGCTCTTCCAACTCAAATCTCTGCTCCCGACCCACCCACTCATTGTTCATTGGCTAAAACAAAAACATATTGCCCATTAAAAATACTCCTATCGCTATAGCCAATAAGAAACTCCCACTTCACCCCTCCACACATGCGCTGTAGACACTATATATATTACATCATTGTTAGGTGAGGTTAATACAGTAGGAAGTTGGTTCATCTTATTTTGTATAAACCATATAATGTAGCAGCCACTTTAAATATATTTGTAGGTAAACATTTATTTGTTAACAGATCAAGCATCAAAAAGGATGTCAGCTGAAGATGACAGATGGAAGTCCATTATTTATAACAAGAACAGCTCTAGACAAATAAAAATATGAAACTTGCAATACCCCATCATAATTTGCAGTTTTCTCAACGTGAGAAATAGTTGCCTTCAATGTAAAACAAATTGAAAGAACTGTACAGTATAGGTGGATTAGGTGTAGAAGCATCTTAAAGTATTTCAAAAGTTCTTGTGAACACTATACTGTAAAATCATTTACCATACACTGTACACTGAGTACAGTATAAAATTAGTGGTAGCTGTACATGCACTGTACTGTACAGTATTTAATTGTCATTATACAGTACTGTATTAGTACAGTACATTAATTATTATTTCTGCAGGCAAATCATTCATGCTTAGGTACATCAATAACTTTCTTTAAAATAAAATGAGGGAAAAAAACATAAATATTGTATGTGCTTATGAATTTAATGAAGGTTATCTAAAGATCACAACACATGTTTATAGCAGAAAAGTTCATGTCACTTTAAATTTGCCTGAATGAAAGATATAAAAACAAAAAACAGTACTGGACACTACAGTACTGTATGTGCAGTACTTGCCAACAGTGCTTAACAGAGAAATGACCGATCGCCCAAGTGGCTAACGAGCCAATCAGTGGTGAAGAGGATAAAAGTAAAAAGCATAGTACAGTACAGTACTATCTAATGTAAAAAATCGTATAAAGATAACTAAAAACCTGTTACAGTTTTTTATTATTATTATTTGATACCTGTATGCTGCATGATGAGTGCACTAAATATGCCCAAAAAATTACAGACAACTCCATGTAACTGAACTGGTAAACATCTACATGGGAATTACTGTATAATGAAAAAACAACTCATTCAAGTCTAAAAAATTCTATTGTCCAGTGTTTTTCCAGTGGTATACTGTACATATGCACCAAATATTTAATGTAATATATGAACAAAATATTTACAATTGAAATTGAGAACAAAACACAGTACTGTACAATATTTACAAAAGCAGTGCAGTAGTTATTTGAAAGAGCAGTACCATAATTATTGACATTCAAAATATCAAGAGTAATTTTAACTAAAGCATTTTGTGAGCAATAAAAGAACATTTTTACCACACCCCCAGCCCACCCATGCTTCAAACTTCCCATTGTGTGCAACAGTAACATAGCTGATGACCAATTCTTTGTCACCCTTGTCAAATTATACCTGTAATCTGATTTTTTTTTTAGTTTAACAGTAAAGTATTTGACTCAAGTAACTGATAATAAATATACAGGGTATTAGAATATTCATTAGATATAAAAATCCCTTATCTGCCTTTTACAAGTTAAAGTTATATCACAGTAAGAGTTCACATAAAAATAACTGGAAATGCACCCTTAAAGTACAGTATACAGTAGTATAGTACAGTACTGGTAACAGCAACAACATCCTGAGCAGTTATGGAGATACAGAAATGATGACTAGAACATTTTATCCATAAGTCTATTGATATCATTATTCTTAAGAAAGAAAGTTAATAAAAATTTTAAGAAATGAGACATCGCCTAAAGCAGGGGCCTAAGTGCCAAATATTCAAATTTGAGATAAGAATTTCCCATGACATGTGTCTATTTTCAATTCTATGTTGATTGGTACATTATACATCTTATACCCACAGCATGCTCAAAGCATGTGAAGCTAGGCTTGAAAAATAATTTCCCCAAGTCCTCATGTGGCTACAAATCCCTGAAAATTGACGATATCTCAAAATGTCAGATTGGCACATATGTCCCTTATTTTATTCTAAGTCTATACCCCTGTATATTTATCTACAGATTTTGTCTACAGAATATCTTCAATTTTCCAACACAGGGAAACTGATAAATTATCAAGATATCAAACAATCAGTTTGTTCACAGTCCTTAACAATATTTTAATCATATATTTTTACCAAGAAAATTGCTGAAATTATCAAGAAACCAAATTCAATATTATAAATAATAATAAATTGTTACACAGCTATCTATCCACAGCAGCAAGAATCACTTAAGTTCTTCTGTTCATTTAGTTAAGTGTTCCGAGTGATTCCCTTACCAAAACTTCTACACACAACCCCCTTTTAGGAACAATATCATTCACAATTTTACCTACACTTAGTTGCCTTTCACTCATTCTAAATACTACAGTATACCATCACCATGAATACCACTTGCTGCTCTGCTTTCTTATTATGCATGTGTTTTGCTCCTTCCTGGGTGGCAATTTCCTGATTTCTAGTACTTTCTTTGCCTGATCCTTTCACATCCTCAGGTGTTCCTCCCTCCATCTTACCATCCTCCTCTGAAGTGTACTCTTTTTTTCTTTCTTTTTTTTACCATCCTTTCATTTCTTATTCTCTCAATATGTCCATAGCATGCCCTGAACAGCTATTTCTGACACTCAGAACAATGTTAAACAATTTCCCACTTGTCCTGTATATTTTTAATATCTCCCATTCTTCTTTTCATTCATTTCTATCATATGGTTTTCAAATCATGAATCTCTCGTAACAAATTCTTTCCCTTCCCTAAGCGCTTTTTCTTTATCTAACCTAATGTAAACACTTGATCAACACATGGAGTCCCTTTCTTGAACTTACACACTATATTTATGTAACAACTCTCTTAATAATGACACTACCCAGCAGATGCAAAACTTATTCCTGTGATTTTTGCATTTTAGGACTGCAGTAGCAACTGCATTCCTCAATTTTCATTCTTACTTTACAAAATTCTAATATCATGACTCCACTGCCATGCCACTTTTGGATTGGCAACAGTACCACCAAAAAGCATTTTTACATCACCAGAATGTAGTAAAAATTTAGAGTGCTTTGGACACGACAAGTTCAGGTTGTTTACCTCCATCATTATCTCTACCTCATGCAAAGCTGAACAAAAATTTGCAGCTAACAAGGTAATGCCTGACTTGTAGTTATGAATGACCGTAAAGAGACAAGGGTTTTGGCTCGGATAAGCAATATCTATTTTGGGCTTTATACCTAAAAGTGGAACAGTAAGGAAATCAATCATTTGTATGTTGGAATTTAAATTAGCATCCCTCTGAAAAAAGTTAAATTCAGGGATAAGGTTACCAAACAGTAAAGAACTAAGAAGGCCAGCATTCTGATTCTGATTTTTTATATTACAAATACATAATTTAAGTTCAACACTTTTATCCTGACAAACATTGTAAACTGAATACATATTCATGCGTTCATAGGATAAAAGACGCAATGCTGCTTTCTTGGATCCCACCTCTAGTGTTAAGAAAAATAAGTCATTGTTTTCATCACCTTTTTCTTGCGCACTCTGTACAACAACATCCAGCTTATAGCGGATCAACTCCACTGATATATGTGTTTCAAGAACCTTCCTCAAGTGAATAGCTCTTAGAGGCCTACAGTTCCCAAACCCAATACTCCCTTCTTCTCGATGTTGCTTTAAAATCTCATTGTTTAAAACTCCAAGTCCAAAGTCTGCAAGAGCCATGTGAATGTGAGATGGTTCCACAGATGTCTCAAAGTTCTGGCATATACATAAGTTTGGCTGCAGGAGAGGGATATCATTGCAAGTCCTTGTTGGTGATATGCTGCTTAGTAGTCCACCAGGAGTCACATATCGTTCGACAAAATCTTTGTCATCAACTTTGCTTTTCTCGCCTAATAACTGCATGAGCATGTTATGTACGTCAATCATGCTGACTAATCGTCTCTCATTATCTCTTAAAATTCTCATCTGAACATCTCCTAAAAGATTTTGTACATCTTTTGGAACAATCATGAAAAAAAATGGATTGAAAGTTTCAACGTGTGCTTCTGGACTAGATTGAATAAACTTACCATATGTGCTTCCATGATCTGAAAAAAGGATGGTTATGGTGTTTTTCAATCCCACAGCAAACTTTGAATACTTAGCAAGAGGCTCATCTAAAGTTTGTACCCGTAAGCCAGTTTCATCATGAGCAACATCGGTGACAGTGAGTGTTAAAAAAGGCTGTCCTGATTTTTGGATAGATTCTTGATAAATCTGGACATATTCTAACATATAATCATGATGGTGTCGACCATTAAAGCACACAGCAGGTAGATCATGAAAAGGATCCTTCTTACCATTAGAATTAAGAATATCACAGCTAGCAAGTGTGAGATCAATGTCATCAATATTTGCAACAGCAAGGGCTCTCTTAAATTTTTGCCACAAAGCTGGACCATACAGTGTCTCATTCATTACTTTTAAGTCCTTGATTAATCCCCATTCCCAGTTCCAACATAAATCCTCAAGCCAGAGTGTCCTGTAGCCACTTTTCTTATAAAGACTAAATAGTTGTGACACTGGTAATGGATTTCTTGGAATATCATATGTGCCAAAAGGAATCTCTGTTGAATTTACATAACCCGAGAAAAGAGCCTGAAAGTTTTCATAAGTTCTCTGTTTCACTGCCTGGAAAAACTGAAAATCAAACACTCTGGGGTGAGCTCCCTCATAGAGGCCTTCAAACAATTCAACTGTATTTGGTAATGACCTGTAGAAGTGAGGTCGTGATAAGGAATCAATCATCACTAAATTTATATTCACATTAGGCCTATTCACCTTTGGATCTTGTGTAAACTTTTTAAACTTCCTTGGATAAAGAAAAAGTTGGGTATATGACTCAAAATAATCATTAGCAGAGTTTTCATCATATTGAGGTTGTCCCAAGTCTTTTAATTGTTCAGAAGTGTTCGAACATTTTATGAAAATAAAGCCAAAGTATTTTTCTTGGTTAATATGGGATTCAACTCTCCTTTTCAATTTATTCTGCACAATTTGTGTCCACTTAATCTTCGCTTCCTCTTCACTAAAAGCACCTATGTAATGATTTAAATTTGCACACTGTGGTGGGGACTTGCAGGATATACTTCCTGACTCCTGAAATTAAAAGCATTGTATAAGTATTTTTTTCCTATTCATAATTTTCTTAAATTTGTCTAAAAAAAAGGCAAAATAATACTAAACATAATCACAGGAATAAATATGGCATAAATTTTCTCTCAGTGTATTCAGGAGAATTTATTTTCTCCTAACTACTGTATAAGCATTTATTGTAAGGTGTTTTAAAAAGCACTGAATAGCTAATGCGTTAGCTTTCCCGGAGTGACACTGAATAGCTAATGCGTTAGCTTTCCCAGACTTTCATTAAAAAATACGACATTGTACTGCTTCTTGGGAATAACTGTTGTACAACACAGTCTTCAGAAAACAATAAAATTAGGAGAACTGTTATTTGGACACAATATGGAAAGAAATAGTGAAGAAAATATATTGAAAATTATGGGAAAAAAGGCAAAAAAGGAAAAAAGTCAATCAATCAACAATAAATAAGAATAACAAAAAAAGATCGGACCCGTTGTAAAGGTTGGGTGGTCTACGACTCAGGAAGTCCGGGGTGGGAGCTTTAAACCACATTACGTACGCTCTCTTCTCGCTGCAGCTGTTCGCATACATACACACGTAGTAAGACGAATTTCAGGTTTGTTTTAAGTTTTAATTTTTGCATTTACAGAACTTTAATCAACTTCTTCACCCCTTATTTAAAGTATCTTATGAGTAATGATATTATGGTTTTAATCATTTTTGAGTAATTATCAATATTGTTACACTTAAGTCACCAAATGCTAATGAAATCGGACAGCACCCACGTAAAAAGGGCGGAGCCTAAACAGGATTCAACTAGGCGCAATCCTTTCCAAGTCTTTCACGCCATACACTTTGTTTTAGGTCCTATCCAATATACTACCGTATATAGTATTATTGTTATTATTATATATCACAGTTTTTTATTGCCTTAAATGCCTCCAACTCTTCAATATTAATCAAAATATTCTCCATAAGCGGCCATGGTCCGTGTTATTTTTACCGGGAGAAATCACTGATTGGTTGTTAGCTATTTGTGCTGCTTGGTCGCTGCGAAAGGCTAACGCCTCATCGAGGCGTCAGCTCAAGTGTCATGCGCACAAGTCAAAAGCAGCGTTTGTGCATATAGAATAGCTAACACGTTAGCTATTCCGTGCATCGAAAACGCCTTACAATAACCGCCTTATATAGAGTGAACAATTGTATATCAAATGAGCCCCAGTCCAGCTAAGGACCAAACCAACCTAACTAACATAGGGCCCTTTAGGAGTGAGGTTCACTAGTTCCAAGTCTCACTAGAAGTGGGCACCAATCCTAATGGTTTATCTCAGATTGGGCCATACAATTGGTCACAGCCATCATGAGTATCAAGTGCAACAAGCCTTAGACAAAAGTACCTATTTTAGACTCAATTTATACAGAAGTGGAGTCTAGACACCTAAATCCAACGCTATCAGTGGTTCTCTGCAGCACACTTTTAGAAAATAAACAAGAGTCTAGATTAGAGCAAATAAGACGAATCTAAAAATCAAAACTTTTTTGGAGCAGCAAATCCAGAGGAATATATCACTCTTAAAATTAATTAACAGCAATTAATAAGAAAATAGTTATTGTTTACCTAAACTCCTTCTGCAAACCACAATTTTTTTATTAGCAAAACAACTTGAAATTATGTACTGTATACTGTATATCTGGAAATAGAGACGTTAAAGTAGTTGGTGTCTATTAATTACTGTGATACAAGGCTTTTTTATACATAGAATTGGCATTCCAAGAATATTGTCATGTAGAACTGGCTCTAAAGAAGATAAAGACTTCTCATACAGTATAAGAAATTGGTACTAAGGTAACATAAATTGTCTCCACACAAAGAACTACCATCAAGGTAGTAGAGAAAATGTGAAAGTGGGTTTTGTAAGCCTGACAGCCAATTAGAGGCACAGTAAATACATCACAATGAAAAATAAGTTTCCATACACAAGGAGACAGTGTGACCAACATTTTTTCTACCTTTCTCTTTCCTAATAGTAAAGAAAGAAAACCAATCTACAGCCGATGTTTTAACATAAAGGTTACTTACCGAGACACAAAAAGTGACTTTTGTTTGATGGTTGCAGCCCTGGGGTTTGCTGCTAAAGAACAAATTTTGCACAAGTGAACACAGTCCACGTGGTGGAGGAAGGTGACGACATGAGGTGGAATGGGAGCCCAGGTGGCGAAAAGATTTTCCCAGATGTGTTTTAATACATGTCGGTACATCGGGTTCCTCGTTGAGACTTCCTAGTGACTGAAAATTAAGACATTGCAGAAAAATTTTTGATTATTTTGAACCTACATTCCACTGAAACTTGTTATATTGACTTTATTTAAAATATTACCAGTACAGTGCAATATTGAGAATGTTACAACTTTTACTGATTGCATACAATAACTCATACTCATATGACTGACTAAACTAGAATAGGTTTGGCTTTAAATATTCATGTCAGGATTAAATACCATCCATATGTCCCTTACAGAATCCATCATAAGAGTTAACATGAGATTCTTTTAATTTTAATGTCCTTTTCAATGATACCCAAACACTGTACAGTAGTGTATGAGCCAAATAACTGTTAAAAACTCTGCTGCCAAACAACAACCTAACATTCATGAAACTGGTGGTAAATATCCCTGATGACAGACACATGTACTGTAATAAAAATAGCAATCGCAGTATGAAAACAAAATCAAGACTTTCAACTTTATTCCTAAAGCTTTGAGACCTCCTTTTCAGACATTTATCCAAAAAATAAGATGATGGCTTCTGAAACATCTTTGTGAAGCTATAGATGTACAGTGTTATGAAACTTTCTACTGTACATACACAGTGACATGTACCCTGCTTAATGTCTCCCATTTATTATTGTTTCATTATTAAGTCACATCTGTCAAAAACAGATGTCCCTAGAAATGATGTCATAAGTACAGTACTAAACTGTATTGTATTGTTAATAACCTACCTGCATGACATTGACATTGGTTAGTCTTGGAGGTTGGTCTAGCTGCAAGGCTCGCATAACTTGTGATATCAACAGCAATAACGACAACAGAATTGAAACCAGTACAGTACGCTTTCCTGGCTGGAGCCTACGAGGCTTGATGGTGGTTGGGAGGATGGTGTACATATCCCCGCCATTGTGAAACATGATGAAGAAGTTACAGCTGGAAAAAATATCTTAATTAAGGAACTGTATTGTACAGTACTCAAGAGTGTCTCATTTACTTGTAGATAATAAAACTGCACAAACACAATTATTTGGGGACATGTTTCATCAAGGACTCTTAAACTACTATGAACTACACTAGGTACAAGGAATCAGACTGAAAAATTTACAGTTTTATAATGGGAATACAACATAGATACAGTTCCAATTATCCAACTATGCCAAACTCCTTTAAGTGCCAGATGATATTATCTGAAACCAATGCTGCAAAAAGGCAATGCTACTCGAAGGATGTAACTGCGCTAAATATTGGTGATACTTTTATTGTTTACTTTTATCCTCTTTGCCACTGATCTGCTTGTTAGCCACTTGGGATAAAACTTTACCTGTAATGTTTATCCTAAGAACAAAGATTTTCAACAAAATTTCAGACAAATATAGTACCTACAGTACCTATACAGTACTGTATGCTGTATTACGGAAAACAACCATGAAAGCTGTACAAACATTTTAAAGTTTTAATTATTGGGTTTTTTAATATTTTCATGATCTGACCAATTATTAAAATAAGGAATTTTTCTTTACAAAATCCCACCGGTTAATAATCGTTTTCATCCCAATATGTATTTCAGATTTTCTGCCATTATCACTAGGATTCTTTTTTTAGGTTAGGTTAGGTCAATTAAAAAACACCAATATGGGAAATTGGGATAAAAACGATTTTTTACCAATCCATCAAACTTATGCTTTAGGTGGACAAGAAAACCAAAATATTACCTTATAATGAAAAGCCCAAAGAATATTTATCAAGGTCAAAAATATAACTACTCACAGGTGGATCCAAATACTGAGCTTGGGGGTGATGAATGATACAACTACATAATCTTTTGTAGAAATGGCGAATGACATTAATTCCTCAATGAGAGGTTTATGAGCCGCCAGAGTAGTTGTTTGCATGTCCCCAAAGGTGACACCATGGCAGAGGCTTCCTTGTTCCTCACACGTACTGTACTCTCCTTTGTCCTAAGCCACGGGTGGAGACTCGTATGATATCTTCTAGTTACAAAACTTTTAATTTTACTTTTATCCTTTTCACCACTTGCTTGGTTTTATGTTTTATGACTTTGGGTATTTGGCATTCTTTATATTAAATCAATCCCTAGGCGAACCTGGCTTAAGAGTAACTTTACAAATGACTCAGGCAGCAAAACTCAAGTCTTGGTAAACCCCTACTCAATCCCCAGCTCGGGCCAGGACATGTAAGAAGGCTTTCCTCTCGTACTAACTCTGGACAGTAATGTTCATAGAAAAGAACAGATCAACCGGACCTAATGGCTAGTAAGGTGATGGGTGGCCAAACAAATAATTAATGACACATTGAACAATATTATCAACTTCTCCAGCTGTGGCTTAGGATATAGTCACGACTGACTCCCATCGATCATGTCTATATAATGCCAGTGGAGTCGTCCTGGATTTGTTATTATGGAATAATTCTAACATTTACATTTGGAATATGATCACTTAGAAGCTACGATGAATACATTTTAGTTGTTATCTTATAGCCAGTATCAATACTTCAGACGATGCCACAGTCAACACTATCCGAACACTCGAGCATTTGTTTACTGGGTTGTATACAACAGATAATTCTGTTTAAATAAATTAAATTAAATTTCATTTAATACTGAATAGCTTGTCTGAACCCGAAAGACACTCTGGCTAAAATACAGCAAACACTTGCCTTTATATTTTATATATTTATATATGATTTTATAAATAAATCTTTGATGCGAAACAATATGCATCAAGTGTCATTAGTTGTGTTAATGTATCGTTCAGGTTGGTGGTGCCACCTGTCGGCGAGGAGAGCAACTCGTGGTGGTCATCGTCTGCACGTCAGCTGTGAGGATGGCGGACCGTCTCTGACCCGACGCTGTGTGTGTGTGAATGATTAATGAGGTGAGAAACTGTTCACATTGTATTTTTTAAGTGAGTTGTATAGGTTATAACATTAATTTCCATGTATAAGTGGTAAAAAATAATTAAGTAGAGTAATTAAGAGGGTTATGAGATATCAGGCATATTTTTTACCATACTCTTTGATATTGACATAAGCTAGACATGCAAAGAGCTTGTTGGTGTTGGGTGTTCACACGTGTTCCTGGGTAAACTAGCTTGCTGTTGGAGAGTAATGTGTCTTCATTTTGTGAATAACGGAATTAAATTTCATGGTTTTAATGTTGCTCACTAATAAAGGAGTATGACTCATGACCAGTGATTCACATATTGCACAGGTTGACTTACTATACCACTGAATTATGACCAAGTGATATATTTTCAGTGAGAATGAATATCAGTGGATCCAAGAGAGAACAGTAACTACGTAAAATTAAGTCTGGCCATCAGCTGTCATCAGAATGCTTGGTATTCTACTGTGGAATATTTTTGTATTTGCTGCGGGTGCTATGAGCATAGTGGTATCAGCATGGTGGTGGATAATGACACAAAAGCTGCCAGAACCAGAAGCCAAGAAGCCAACTGTAACAGACACCAGCTTGCCTGAGGAACTGGTGGACAAGCTAAAGCAGGGAGATGGGTTCCGCCGTCGAGAGACCTGCCTTGCGCTCAACTTGATACTCCAGTTCTTTTTCCAAGTAAGATAAATCTTCCCATTTTACTCACTGTAGAATAATATATGACTTCTGTCTAGTGTGATTTTCTTTTTAAATGTCTTATGCGTATTAATTAAAACATGTTTGTTAATCCTCAGGAAAAGCGTCATGAAGCTGGAATCATGCGATGGCTCACAAACATTCTTACTCTAGAGTTTAATGATCTGTTGAAACATAAAGCTCTCTCTAAGTTCATCCATAACATGCAGGTAAGAAAAACTCACTTCTGCGGGATAATAGAATTGGTGAGTGACAGTTAAGGTTAGTACCGTACTCTTTCAATGGACAAATGGTGAAATGGGCATTTTTTATTTGATAATTTGATTAACCCCTAATGTACAGGGGTCTCCTCTGTGATGAATAAAATCATCTGGCATTACCCAAATAAAATATTAAAAGTGGCATCTTCATAGTGAAAGGGTTAAATGAGGGTGTATTTTAAATATGTACTTTTGCTTGCCTTTACTAACAGTGTACTTGAATAATTTGAGCAAAACCTGTTTCACATTTGTACCACAATCTGTATACATATGTTCAGATTCTGTCAGCAAGGTACAGTACTCTACAGGCAGACATTCAATCACTGTATTTTTTCTGTAATCTTCATCTGTGAATGAGCATGTTACTTTACTGATAGGAAAAGTGAAATTTCTTGAGTACAGTGCCAGCCGTGTTGTGCCTCCATGTGTACCCCCCTCAAAAAAAAAAAAAAAAAAAACCTAGTGTACAATTGCCTATACTGTACAATAGACTGCGTATAATGGGCTGAAATTTTTTTGTCAGTCAAAAAATCTATACATTAGTCAGTACAGTTTGGTAAAGTAACCTGATAGAATACTCTACTGTGAAACACCAACATTGAATGATCTGTACAAAATTTATGGATGATAATTTCTTGGGTTAACTAAACCCCTCTATACCATACTAAGATTCTCAAGAGAAGATTTCCATATTGCAACCTTTGACCTTCAAGGCTTTTGTATTCCATTCTCATAGCCTCCTTCTTTTGGCAAATGGATGATGAACAGACCAGATATTGTAGCATAAAAAATATGGTTAGGAGAAAGAACTGTGTGATACTGTACAGGTATTTGCATTAAAAGTAGATTGAATCATTACAAAAAAAAATCGTAAATCATACACTCATTGTTTGTCCAAATTGTCATTTATATCGTGTCAATAATATAATTAGTGTACAAAAAGGAATTCAGGTTAAGGATTCATTTTGTATGCAGTACAACATATGCAAGTTGAGGATATATTATCAGTGCCCTATCCTATCACTTAATACACTTGTCTTGCACAAGTCTCCCATATCAAATCCTCCCTTGCCTTTCTTTGAGATTTCTTTTCCATTTGATCTACCTCACACGATATTGGGAGAAGAGAGAAGATAGAATACAGAAAGGTAAAATCACTATTTATACTAAAATTTCAGATTCGAGACTTGAATCTTGGAACAAACTTCCCAGTTATTCGAGCGGTCACAGCTAAACATGTAAATCTTAACCCTGATACTGCAACTCTGGAACAAATTGATATCATGGCAGAAGTGGAGTACAATGGAGGGATCCAGTTGGCTGTTGATGCATCCTCAAGGTTCTCTAAGGCTGCCATGGTTAAGATAAAAGGTTTGTAACTTTTCTTTAACTACAGTATTCCCTAACAATACTCTACTACTTTAGCTTTTTTCTGTACGTCATGTATGATATGATTTAAAGAGGGTTAATTAATTATATATCAATAAGAAAATAATTGGGTTTTTCAAGTGTCAGACTTCTTGTAGTTTTTAGATTTATTTATAAATACATTGGCTTAGGTACTACCATTATATTCAGAAATAAATAAAAAATCTATGTGCCAGTACTGTTGCTTTTGACCAAACAGAAATCTATGTATACAGTACAACACATCCGCTGATAATCCTTGGTCCGCGTACTGGTTGTCTATTACTGTTTCGAGAATTGTAAACTCTTGGAACAATCTGCTAGAGTTTTGTGACAGCACTGAGTGTGAACTCTTTCAAAACCAGACTAGACCAACACTGGTGCAGGTACAAATACATTCTGGAGCCAGTACATACCCAGTACTTGCCAACAGTGCATAACAAGCCGATCAGTGGGGAAGGGAATAAAAGTAAAAAAGTAATGTAAGCTTCTCAGGCAAAATGTTCTTTACATGAACCATGATGTGATGCATTGATACCACAATGCTTGGTTAGGTGTTAGATGATGGTGTCCCTCAAAATTTTTCTCAGTTTGTATCTTACTGATGTACTGTACTGCACTGTGTACTGATCAATTAATCTTCCTTGATCCAGGGATTTTTTAATCGTAGTGTTAGTGAAGTGCAGATCCAATTATAAGTTGGCAGTCAGTGGGAATAAAGGTTTTGAATTAAAGTCAACTTTCTGCCTCATTTACATACAATTGTAGGGTCTCAGTTGTTTCTATTTCATGACAAAACAACATACATATATAGCATTTCTCACTGTTGATTTTTTTTTCATTCTTGCATTTCTTTGTATTTATTATTATCACAGTGTTGTTATTATTATTATTACCATTAATATTTTATTTTACTTTTTATTATAAATTTTATTTACTATGAATTATTATTATTATTATTAAATTTTCGCCCCCCAGGCCCCGATGTGGGTCAGTGACCTGTGCCCAGGTGGGCTAATCCCCTTAAAAAAAAAAAAAAAAAATTTTGAGTAATGCAACCCCTCCATCACTTGAGGATGCTTGTACTATACCTGTATAAGGAAAGTCTTACATGTTTCTTTGGTTATGGAAACACTTTTGGTATAATGCAGAATTCATGGAAATGCTGTATTAATGTGTGAATTTATATGACTGCTGTAAGTTACCATTTGTCTTTATAGCACTTGATTAATCATTGTCATCACTAAGAGAGGCCATTTTTCATGGACAGTTGTTCATCTTTCTGGTAATGGTCGACTACAGTTTTCTAGGCACCCCTTCACCCACTGGAGCTTCTCCTTTTATGAGGAACCTCAGGTAAAATTAATTTTTTATTAATTTTTACATTTGTATTTATATCTAATATTTGTCATATTTGTCCTCTAGTTCCAGGATTCATTATATGTTCATTACTATTTAGCTACAATTGAATATGACAAGATTATGTTCCCTAAGAAGCAACAGGGTAGTGACCTGACCAGCTTTGCAGACCAGTGGCTTACTTTAAACTTGGGTTCAGTGGCTGTGATAAGTAAAGTTTAGTACTGTACAGTAAAATCTATATTGACCTTCAAAAGAGCTGGTGCTTATCTTAAGAGCAATGTTTTTTGGAATTCTTCTAATATTGATTTTTTCTTTTGTACATATTGCTACACATAAATCTGCTGACAAAGTAGCAGCCATCATTTGATGGATGCTATTGAAAGTGGTGATATTTGTAAGTCATTTTTTTAAATCCTTGATGAGCTTAGCAAATTACAGTCGAGTGGTTACAGTGCTCACCTTCTCTTCCGTCAGCTGGTGGTTCAATACCCAGGCACTTCCAATTCACCCAGCTGTTAGTGAATACCTAACTTTACAACTTGGGGAAGTGAATGTGGTTGAGTACAATACCGGCCATGATGCCTCCTAGTATACCTGAGGCTTAGTATACAATGTCCTTAACAGTCAGTCATGCCTATGGGTCCCACTTTCATTTTTCACTTTTTTTTACTCTCTATAATCTTACTAAAGAATATTGACTTCCAATTCTTGTACATACACTCAAGTAACAAAAGAATTTAATTACAATTTATTGGTTATCTTCTTTGAAGGTGGAATTTGAGGTTTATTCAAGCCTTGGTCTTCACATTCCACGTTTCAACTCAATCATCATCTCTCAACTTAGAGGAATACTGAAACGCAAGCACACCCTGCCATATTTCAAGTTTCGAGGTCCACCACTCATCAAGAGGCTAACTCAACCAATCAACGAAGAAGGTTGTTCCGTCCCCTCAGGAAGATTGACTGGCAGTATTGTGAAGTGCACGAGACTGCAGGTGCAGTAATTTAACTTTCTACAGTGTTTTATTTTTATGACAATATTATTATAGTACAGCATATTTAAATTGGTTAGGCTTTATGGAATAATGTTTTTCAAAGGTTTCTTCTTTTATTAGTTTTGTTTCAGGACATCTATTTTTCCACTATAATTCATATACAGAAAACTGATGAAAAATACTAATCTACGATATCACTATAGTTAACAGTGAATTTACCTTTCAATGACTATTACTACAAAATGCAATTGAAATACACATGCATTGAAATAACATATTAAAATGTTGGTACACTGACTACCTTGTAGGCTGCCCTAGTCCATGAGGTGATGTACTGCACTGTGATACTGAGTGAAGTTCCTATTGTGTGTGCTGTGGAAAAGCCATCAGGGATGTGGGCAATCCAGGACATAACCCTCAAACGTCCCCAGGGGTCATCAGCCGGTATTTTGTTGCGCAATTCAGACGAGGGCACACAGGTGAGTTATACTTGTTAGTGATCCTCTGTTTTTAATTTAGGTCTGTATAATAATCCTGTTTCATACATTGAATACCAATATACAACTTGTGAGCTGGATTCTTCTTCTTGTCTAATTCGCCTGCATTTTTGTTAGAAATCAGTCACCAGTCAAGTTAACTATTTCAGCTAATGTTTGGGTCAGTTCATGTTATTTCAGGAGCACAGTCTTCATTTGGCATATACAGTACAGTAGAAAAATTATCCCAATATTAGTTAATCTTACAATACATTGGTATTCTTTTCAGTGGTCAGATTTGGAGTAGTTTATCCCAGTTTATAATAATTTCAGCTACATAAGCCATAAACTCCTTTATCCCCAACCTCTTCAAATTCTCATAGTTATACCCATACCATTAGCTGTGTACGATATTACTATGATGAGATAAGATGAATCATTGGTGAAATCACTCATTGATCTTGTATCCTGTGCACTTCCTCTCATATTCTTACCTCCCCAAAACAAAATCATAACTGTTGTCTACTCTTTCTTCTCTGCTCTTGTACCTTGTATATACAGTAGATGCAATTGAATTATTTTTTTTCATTCATTATTGCAATAACTGACATAGGTGTGAGTCATCCATCATTATTTTCATTACAGATGGTAGAATCAGTACAGCAGAATTCTCCAGCCCACACAGCTGGTCTCAGAAAGAATGACATACTTTTAGCTGTTAATGGAACATATTTGAACTCTGGCCAACAAGCAGCAAAGTTATTCTCAACAAGCAACATTAATGGTGACAGCAATAGTATCACCCTGAGAGTGAAGCGACTTGTTGTGCCTGAGCCCAGAAAGGTTAGTTATAAACATTATGCTGTACCAGCGGTCTGCTTCACATCTCCTTTTTATGTTCATATAGGCTGATATAGTGCAGTGGAGTCTCAATAATTCACAAAATACGAGTACATATTCACGTTCTTTATTTCACGGGTACTTCTATTACTACTGTACTGTGCCCCTTTTATAATTTCACAGTCAAAATTTCATAATTCGCAGCCAAGCACCGACGCCATAGTGTTTGCTTATATAAGAGACCATAAAAGTTGTAGAAATGTCATTTTATTGCTCTTAATTTGCCTTGGAAATAAAGAAAATATACTGTAATATGTTTATCACTTCAGTGTTCCAGTGTGATTTAGAAATAAAGAAATTATAATATAAAACTATAAAATAAGAAAATTTAAAAGTATTACCCTGTACTGTAGCTGCTTTAGTTGATACATAATAGGGTGACAGTATTGCTTGGCCATGATGAGCTTCAGGCTTCTTCCTTTATGTTTTACTCAAACTAACTTTGTCATATTAGTAAGATACCTGTACTCCCAATTGTGATATCTTTTCCTATCTCCCTTGTCCCTATGTACAGTAGCTGACTTAAGTATATTATGGAGTTACTCGGTTCAAAACAGAAGATAATATAAATAGAAATGGAAGGTGATCTTGAAGTCCCATTTTATGATTGAGTCAGGATTAAGTGACTTAGCAATACCTCCATGCATAGCTTTATGGTGCTGAGGTGTGCCGGATTTAGGGGATTGTTCTGATGTAAAGTTTTGTAATTGGTGTCAACAAGTATATGGAGGAATTACAGTGTCTGCATTTATACTTGGCAGTAAAATTGTTAAAACTACCAAGTGACTGTCATACAGGAGCCTCATAAAGTTCAACAATTACAGTATACAGTACAGGGGGTCCCCCAAGTTCGCAGATTTTTACTTTGCGGTTCTCGGTTATTCGCGAATGACACCCTGGAAGTACTCAAGAATGTCTGTGGGTAGTTTTAAAGTTGCCGACACTTTTGCGGCTGGGACAGGGAGCCATTCGTTCTCGGGGCAGTAATTTCCTTTACCTGCATTGTAAATAATTATGTGTGTGTGTGTGTCTACACACACACACACACACAAAATAATACTGGGAAAATACTCTCACAAATAATCAGAAAGAAATTTATTTAAAATGTGACAGTCGACCCTCAAATCCGTTCTCTATTGCAGTACTTTATTAATAGACCAAGGATGGAGGGTAGGCTCACATTTTTAATAAATTTGTTTCTGATTATTTGTGAGAGGATTTTCCAATTATTATTTATTAGTATGTGTTTTGTGTGTGTGTCTACACACACACACACACACACACACATATATAATACTACAGGTAAAAAAATAATTATCCTAAGGGCAAACTCATAAAGGGAATACTGTATACATTTCTTTGTACACAAGTAAAAATGTACCCCCTCGGTCCGCAAATGTTATTCGCGGATTTGGTGATTTGGGGCCATTTTGAGAACCTAACCTCGCGAATTTGGGGGGGGGGGGGCCTGTACTGTATTATTTTATTTTGTAAAAAAAAAATTCTCATTTGCAAGTCAGGTCCCTGTGGCTCTTGGGCGTGACATAATGATGGCTTACTGGCCATACTGATTTGCTCAGTCCTGACTTGTTCATAAAATGGGACTTTAGCATTCATCCTTTATTCTTCTAAAATAAATTATGATTACTGTACTGTATTTATTCTTTACATGTACTGTATACTAATACATTTTATTAAATTTATCTGATTTGTGAAGACTAGTAGTGTGAGAGTAAATAATTACCTTAAAATTAGCCTTTGTACACAAATCAGTATTGTACAGGTATACAAAGTGCCAAAATATTTATATTATGGAAAAAAAACATTAAAATCTGTATGGTTTTAGGGGGTTCCAGTTTTGGGCTATATAAAAAACCATTCAATTCATGAATTTGATATTTGGGAAATATTTGCCAAATGTATTTTCCTTTGAAAATTCATTTATAATGCCATTATTCCCTGAACCTCACCTAATATAATAATTTTCTTCATCTATAGCTTCATTGATCTGATAGTAGAATTAGATTTCTTAGTTTTATCAGTAGAATAATGCATTCTGTTTGTCTCACTAACATCCCACTAACTTCTTCAGATGATAGCTGAACAAAGAGCCGTTGGTTCTGACGGTGCTTCATCGGGTGTCGGGGAGGATACTTCAGGTAGACTCCACATAGCTTCCAGTGGCCAGTCCATTGTAGCACCTTGCACTGCCAACAGTAGTTATAGTGGAGAGAAGTCTTCTAGTGCCTGGGTAGAGACCTCAAGTAGTGGTACCTCCAGTTGTATTGGGACCAGTGATGCCCGTGGTGGAGGAAGCTTATCATGTAGTAGCAGCCATGGTGGTGGTTGTAGAGGAGGTGGCAGTGATGTAGGAACTACTGCCTCTCTCTCAGTCGGTGGTGGTAGTAGTGTTGGCGGTAGCAGTAGTCGTGGTGTTGGTGGTGGTAGTAAAGGTATTGATCATATAGGTACCTCCCCCCATGTTGGTAGTGGTGGATCAGGAGCTTCATTAGGTAACACCAGTGGTGGTATTGATGATGATGGTGGGCCTGGAGGATCACGTGCTGTTAGCCCCTCTCACTTGCTTGCTGGGATAATGGGGACCTTCAACGGAGGCCGGCCAGCTAAGCACCGCTCTCTGCCAGGCTCGCCTGTCCTGCAGCGCACCAGTAGGAATCGTATAAGCTCAACACGAGATGGTAAACATACACACAGTCTTGTTTTTTATTAGCTACTTAAACATTTTACATGTGGTGTGTTGGCATAATGCTTAGTTTTGTTTACGTAGTGATAATGCATTTTTTTGTGTAGTTCATATTGTGTAGAAAAGTATTTATTTTCCTTATTCTGTACAGTATTTCCTGTAACTAGGTATAGTAAGTAAGTAAGTATAATAAAGTTTTTTGTTATCTTTTACAAACACAGCTAATTGCCACATTCACTTTTCCTTTCTTAATAATTTCTTATGATAAATAAATAATACAAGTGTTCTTGCAGGTGATATCAGTGGGAGTGGAAGATCAACACCTGACTCAAGCCACAACAGTAGTCCAGAGCTGAAGCGTAAACTGTTGGACCTGCACACACTTCCCACAGATTCTCGACCAATTATAACCAATCAGGACAAATCTCCTGTAACTACTGCAGCCAATAAAAGCCTTCCCCGACCTTTAATAGGGATCAACCAAGATAAGTCCCCAGGTTCCGGTGTTGTTAATCAGAGTTTTCCTGTGTCTCAACCTGTAAATGAGAAGCCACCGTCAAACCAAAGCAGCAAAGCAGGGACTCCTACATCACCAGACATTATGATGATTCCTAATCCAGAGCGACGAGTAATAAGAAGACATGCGGGGAAAGGCAGAACACATTTAAAAACTTTGCAGACACCATTTGTTGATGGAAGTGGTGTAAGTATTAAAAAATTTCAATGTGAAAAGCTCTTATTTCATATTTTAATTGCTTATTTTCATGCATTTCTACTCAAGAAAAACCTTTAAAAAAATTCTGACACAGTAATCACTCAATATTTGTAAAGGTTAGATTTTTGGAAATTGGTGTAAATGTTAAATCATCTAAAGCTAATTCCTGAAGGCTGTAGGAAAAAGTAAGGTAGACTGCTCCTATGAACATCATGGTGAAGGTTCATGACTGACAAAAATAAACATACAAGTGCAATAACAAGGGCAAATCCAGGGGGGGTCCTGGAGGTCCGGACCCCCCTTTTCACCAGAAAATTCAAATACAGTCTCTCCTCGGCTTACGAACGGGTTCCGTCCTGACGACTAGGTCTAAAGTCGAAAAGGAGAAAATATTACTGTACATAGAAATTCTAAAATGGGTGTCTGTTTTTCTTCTCAGCACCACGAGAACTCTCACTTTTATGCTTGCCAGCCATTTTAAAGGGAATTACAAACGAAAATTTTGTCAGTACACAGCGCAATCACTAACGTCGGGACTCGAAAATACGTAATGTGAAAAATATTTTATACAACCATGGCCGTCGTATGTCTGGGTTGTCGTAAGCCGAATATGTCGTAAGTCGAGGAGAGACTGTACTTTTCTTTAATGTAATATTGTACTCAGACATTTTTGTATTGTAAAAAGTATTTATTATTGACTTCAGAATATCTCCTAATATCAAGTGTACATGGCTTCAAAATGCCCATGATATTGGTCAGATTTCACAAAATTTTCTGGGGGTGGGGGGTTTACAGCGCCCGCCCAAACCCCGCAGCTGGGTGGGCTCGCCATGTTCCCCCACCCACAATTCTGGATCCCCCCTTTTGATATTCCTGGATCTGCCCCTGAATAAGCATTTTAGTCATTAATAAGAAATATGCTGTAATGTGTAAAAATCCATTTTACTCACAATTCCTGATAATTACAATGGTTCTTGAGTTGGCTATGAGGATGAAGGTGATGTTGGAAGATGGGTTAGAAGATGTGGGGCCCACCTGAAGATCTCTTGGTAAGGAAGCCCACAAGAGGCTGCAGAAGTGGGAGGAGATCTGAAAGTGATTTTAGGATCATAAAGATCACCACTGGACCCAACAAAGCTTAGAATGGTGAATGGTGTGGTGGTGCTGCCAGTTTTCTTGAAAAACCTTATTATTGGTGCTTGCTTAATCCCCAGGCATTGAAAGTAGAGCTCATTGAGACTTTAAGAATGAAGTCAAGTACAGTAACTGACCATCATAATTTTTTTTGCCCTCCTAGTTTTCTTGTTTTAGGTTGACAATAATTTTATTTCATTTTTAGTTGTGTATAGATTTGATGAGTCCTGCAAATTCTTGCTCATAGCTCTCTCAGGGTTCTGACCGCTGACTCTGCCACCCCACAGCGAGATACTCTACAGAACTGTACTAATATCATGCAGAATGAACATTAGGAAATACTTTTTCACACAGAGGCTATGAAATGGTCTACCAGCCTAAGCTGTAGAATCAAGAACAGAACTGGGTTTCAAAAAAGCCCATGACAAAATTATCAAGAACAGTGGAGGGATCCTACACAAGCCACTGGCCTCTCCCTTGGCATAGCCACCACTTGTGGGTGGCCATTAAGTAAATAAGTACTTACCGTACACTGCCTGGTCTAGCAAATCATGAACAATAAAGCTGAAAATGTTGATGGTTTATTGGATCTTTTATTGGCATTATACTGTAAATTTTTTTATGATTACATAAACTTGTTAGGTCATCTGCTGTCAGCCTGTTAATCTATTAGCCTTACTCTGTTTTCTCTTATGTGAAGTACAGCTCATGCTTTAGTCCTCAGAAGACAAAAGTACTTCTTAGATCATCTGAATGTATTGGTTTTCTGTATAGCATCAATGTATCCAACAGGTCACTAGTTTGAGATACATTACACTATATGCTGCACCAGAGAGCAATAACTAATTTCTAAATCTTGCTCATGACTTCACAAAGCATTTGTTGATGTTTCACAGCACTTCACTCCTCCATAGAGAGTTAAGAGTCACAACTGTTTAATATTTTTTTCCCTAGTACAGTACTGATCAAAGTGGGCTTGTGCTTAGGTACTTAGACTACCCTGTGGCGTGGGTGACTTGATCAAAGGAATGTGTCATACTTTAAGTACAGTACAGTACTTCAAAAAAATAAGTTGTGCTGCAAATATGTAATGTATATTTTATCTATAAGACTTTATGCACTTGAATTACTTTGCTTAAATGAAAATGGAATCAATACCTGTAGAAAAAGAAGCAGTTCTGTACTTTGTTGCAATTTATCTTCTGTTGCTGACTGACTTATTTATTTAGCATGATAATAGCTCCAATTAGTTTACTCTCATCATTTGGAACACTTGACTACATCATTTATGGAATATGTTCCACAATCTTTTATATTATTTCATGATTTATATATTTTTCTTTAATTTGCAGGATCCAATGTTTGACAGTGATTTTGAATTTTGGTTGGAGGAGGAGAACAAATTCCTGAATGTAGCTGTTTGGAGTAGAAACATTTCTTCATCAAAGCAAGATAGTGACTCAGGGTCTTTTGATAAACCTAAAGACAGCAAAGATAAATCTAAATCTAAAGAAAATGAAAGAGAAAGAAAAAAGAGTAAAGAAAGTGAGAAGTCAAAGACACGTGAAGAGAAGGTGACAGCAGGACTTACTGATGATACTTTGATGGGTTACCTGAACATTCCACTCATATCTCTGATTCCTGAGACGACTCTCAACACCCAGGGTCATGTTATTAAAATACTGACTCTGAATCCTCCACATCCCAAGTGTCCTGAAGTGGCATCAGACCCACTCATTCCACATAAAGGTTTCACTCCAAGTCTGTGCTATGGGGACATGATGCTCTCACTAACGTACCAACCACAGGACAGGTAAGTTTCTCTGAATGTAGAATTTGTTTGATCTTCTATTTTACTGTGCTTTATTTCATTGGCTAATGTGTAGTACAGTACTCTTACCTTGAATTAATAACAGACCTGACAATAACCCCCATATTAAAGAATATAATAAAATGCCAGTTTTATGGAATGAAAGTGACTGGCCAGTAAAACTTGAGTTTGATGCCCAGTAGTTGCAGAATTGGTTGGTACACATGAAATTCAGTCAAATTTCTCAATGCAAGGTAAAAATATTAACCGTAAACATAATTTTGCTGAGGCATTTTCAATCCTTTTGGTTTCAGTAATTTTTTGCTTGACACATTGCCAGGTAGATTAAAGTGAATACCGGTACTGTACACAAGTTTGTGGGTAACAGGTAAGACATGTCGAGACAGTGGTGGCTATGTCAGTTGACTGTACAGTAGATGGTACAGTAATTTTGTATTGTGTTCACGGTATAATGTAAGTAAATCATTCATTGTAATTATGCAATTGAATACATAATTACAATGTTAAAGAAGGAAAAACAACTCTATATGTTTATTTTACAAGTTAAATCATATTTTTATGAATTTCTTTAGAATTCTAAGGGCACATTTCCAATACCAAATTTAAGAAAAATCCTTTCATACACAATTAATCTGACCCCAGGCCACTTTGTAAAAACTGGATTTTACTGTTTAACCAGTGTGGTGAGGGATGAGAGCCATCTCTGCAAGCATTAGTCAGTAAACTATAATTCTGCCTAGCAAGTAAATAAATTTGTTATTTAAATCTAAGCTGAAGTTACAGTACTTTCATCATAATCAATCAATCTTATCCCAACCAGGTGTGAAGCCATTGGCAGAGGAACTTTTGATAAAACAGCCATCTCAGAAGATGAAAGCCTCACTGATGGGACATTGTCTGAGGAAGATGACCTGTTGGGAATGCAAGAGATTGTGGAAGATCGTAATCATGACTTTAAGAGGACTCACTTCCATTCAGCCACACAATGTGATTTTTGTAAAAAGAAGGTACAGTACTATTCTTGACTTTTATAATGTTATATTGTATTTTACTCTGCTAAGGTGTTATGCTGTTCACAAAAGCCTTTCATTTTTTCACAAAAGGGTTATTCACTCATTTCTTGTGAGGGGATATAAGCAACCACAGAATCCTTTTTTTTATTTTTTTTATTTATACTGTAGTTTTTAATTCCTTGTCTCTTTCTACTTAATAAAACTGTCTCATTAGCCAAATAAAATATTAAAAGTGGCATCCCCTAGTGAAGGAGTTGGATAACCACAGTAATACTGTAATAGTATGTATGTAGACACTTCCCGGGTTACAGATGACTCGGATTGTGGATTTTCAACTTTACCGGATACTCTCCCATAAGTCCTTTTTAAAATGAACGCCAAGTAATTCCTGGACTGAGCGGGAATACTTTCAACCATATCCCTTAAGCTTATGAATGTAACAGTAGACACTTTCACTTGTGCTAAATTTCATTTTACATTTTCAGTAATGAGAAATGTACTGTACTGTACTATACTATACTACACTACATGCATAAATAAATAATTTATTAATTACTTTTCTAGATCTGGTTGAAAGATGCTTATCAATGTAGTGAATGTGGGATAATCTGCCATAAGAAATGCATGGTAAAGTGTGAACAAGAGACTGTTTGTGATGCTGGCGGACTTCGGTACAGAGATTCTCCGAGATCTGATGCTCGGGAAGGCCGAGATAATAAGGATATGCCACCGGAAATTATAACAACAGCTGCAGTAGGTCCGGGTACTGATAATGGCAGCCCAGGAAATACTCCACCTGTGTCTCCTCATGTAAGTAATCAAGGCTTAGACAGAATTTTTAGACCATTCATATCTGCTGCTAAACTTTTCATTAGTTGTTTTTATTTTACTCAAAATGCATATCGACTAAATATAGCTGATATAAATAATAAATTGGATTGAATTGATAAGAAACAGCAGGATACATGTAGACTGTTGGTGTGATCTTGAAGGAGAGAGAAAATGGTACCTGTATTCTTCCATGCCATGCCAACACAATGCTTTGCAAGGGTTATTTCCTTTTATGCCAGCCCCTGAATAGTCTAGCACTTTGACCACAATAAGCAAACTTTACCTCAATAAGTTCATATAAACTAACACTTTTTTCCATTGATCAGCTAGCCAACCTTTTTGAAATACTGTACACAATAATTCTCCGTCACATTCTCACACTTTTTTGAGGGTTCACTTTATTAATTTCTTGAGTGAGAAAAATGGTGAGGGATTTATAAGTCAAACTGGTTTCTCACTATCTCTCAGTAATAAGCTGAGTTTCTTGTTCTTTACTGAAATTCATTCTGTGGAATATTTGCTATATTGTAATCAGATATGTCATTGCTACTTCAAATTTTGACCTAGAATTTTTCATTTCCTCAGAGGGTAATTAGTAATCCTTTTCAGAAATATTACACAAAATTAATGTATTGGCCAAACTTCACTCATCCCTGTTTATATTTCAGGAGTAGGAAGTTTCTTTGTATATATACTGTACTTTACTTGATCTCATAAGTATGCCAATTTATGATGTTAGGGTTCAGCAAAGTCTTGTCAGATTGATATATTTATTCAAAAGAGACTAAAAAATTAAGTGACAAGGCAGCTTCTTTCTGTATTATAAATTCATTGAAATGTTTTGCATCACAAATTTTACCAACCTTTTGCATATGATTTTGTGTTCATGGTCATATCTTTAAGTTGCCTTTTTAATAACTCCTGGCAAAGGTAATTGAAAGATGGGATGTTGTCTCAAACTCAATTACCTGTCAAAGACTGAAATGTCTAGTTAATGTGGAGTATCACATGGTATGGACATACACGTTATATTTACACGTATTCTCATTATTATCCAAGAAATCTATCCAGCCTGCCTTTAGAAGAATGTGTAAGGTATCTGTTGAATTTAGGTCTCCCAATCAGAGGAAGTAACAAGTCTCTTAATTCAGATTCATTTTTATTATTATACTGTAGTACTTACAGTATTTTATTACCCGACCTGTTTTTCATTGTGTCTGAACCAAGATGCGTGACATGGGTTCACGGTTCACCCAGAGGCTGCAGTCCTTGTTGATGCTTCGCAATGAAAACTCACTGTCAACACAAGAGCTCACACATAAAGAATTGGAACTGCAGGTTCAGACACTATCAGTCCAAGTTGTTCTGTACAGTATTAAGCCTTGTAACTCCCTAAATTGTAGCATAGCATTTTATCTACACAAAGGTGTTCCTGCCTAAGCAGAATCTCGATCATATGGATCATTAGAGATATATACTGTATACGTATGCTGTAAAATTTTATTACCTCAGTTTGGATTTTAATAATCAGTGATTATCTGAGTTGATAACACTGAAACAAGACAAAACAAAATAAGATTAAGAAATAATACATCAACTAAAGGCAAGTTTTTTTCATATGCTGGGTACTATTAGATAACCATAAGAGTACTGTCTTGCTGGTTAACATGATACTGCAATGTAATTGCTTTTATAAACTTTCCTTAACATACAAAATAATTATATCTTGTTGCTTTCAAACTATGTATACAAAAAATTAATGAATTAATTTAATGAATGCAATAATTCATGTATCATGAATGCATTTTGTACTTGGTGTTGATTGAACCCTTCTTCATTTGAAGTGGGAAGGGACTTTCAAGAGTAGTGAAAGAAAAAAATACATAGTAAAACCTTTCGTAATTGAGGCTGCTTAGCTAGGTGTAGAGAGCATTAACATTTGTGTAGATTCATACAGAAATCGAAGTTGTAGAACACTTAATAGTATGTATCTCAAACAGTATTAAGTAGACAGTAGTGTGAAGTTTTAACCATTGAATATTGATGATTTTAGCTTGTATTCATTTAACATTGTCAGATTATTATAAATTTGAACCCTCATACATCCTATGACAAGTACATAGTATTGGATTGATTCTATCTCTTACAGATAAATGTATTTGTCTATAAAGGTAATCAGGAGATATGTTCATAAAATTAGAAGTTACAAAGCTTCCCACTGAGAAATTTCATCTTTATCATCAGTTGTACCATAATGGGTTATGATACTACATAGCCATTGAATGGGATATATTTCAGAATATACCAAATATCAATACAAGGGTGATAAATTTTTTCTAGTTGTAATGTACAGTACTGTATGTGAAAATTACGAAGGTTAGTAAAATCATCGAGCTGTATTCTTAGAGCCTAAAGGAAGTGAGAGATTACAACAAAAGAAGAATAGAGAACAACAGAAGAGTACTGAAACAAATAGAAATATCTTGCACATATTGAGGAAATATAACCTAGGGATATAACACTCATATGAATAAGGTTTGGGTATCTCCATGCCATACCATAAGAACAATAAGCTATTCAATTACAAATTAATATTCATTGTGATTAATGCAAACCAAAATGGGAACCTTCTTAGAATATCAGATTTCAGTTACATCAAAGTTCATTTTGTTTATCTTTATTACATTAAATAGATGATGACTGGTAATATCTTTTATTCTGACCACAGGACTATTCTGATATTAAAATATGAAAACCCATGTTACATTGTGTAGATATATATAGCTGCTACATTTTTCATGCAGATCCTTAGACTGAGCACTTTGTTGTCTCTCCATTACACAGTTTTGTCTTTAACCATTTTTTATATTGTCACGGATGCCCCGTTTTCCATATGTTTTGAAGTATAAAATTCTCTGCCACCTAGGCCATGCAGAACAGTGACTTAGCCAGAGTCAAAGAAATGGCCAACAATAAAGCAAATAAAAATAGCTTGTAGAAAAAATGTGTGGCTGGTAATTGTTTTTGTTTTTTTTTAAATTTATAGAAAGGTGCTTTATATTGCCCTAGTTCAAGTCTTCATGAATATAGCAGTCTCCAGGAAGCCAGTAAATATCTAGTCACAGGGAGAGAGGATGCTGTTCCCAGGCCACGTTTTAAGTCCAGGTATTCATAAATTAGGAGTTCGTAACTTGAGGATTCCTTGTATCTTTGATCCTATGTGAAAGTGTCTGATATTTGTAGGTGTGGGTTTTATTTTTAATTTTTAGAGTGTGTAGTATTTTGCACTGAATTTTTATATAGTTAGAGCCCAACTAAGCCTGGAATAATTTATCGTGGTCCAGATAGGATATATTCTGTTTAGTGTAGTAAATAGTTCCTGTTTGTTGATTGAAAGCATTGTTTGTGAGGACTTAGTGTATTTGTGTAGGTTTTGTTGTTTGTGTTTGGTGAAAGTCATTTGATGGTCCAGCATGATGCTCAGGATCTGTGGGTGTTTATTGAGGGGTAATGGTTGGTTAAAGAGTGTAACCTGCGGGTGGGTGCGAGACTTTAGTTTGCCAGATACAAGACGTGGATTTGGAAGGGGAGGCTGTCATGCTCTGTTGGTTTAGCTATTGTTTTATTTTCTATAGGTATTATTGGAGGGTAATTGATGCCTGGTTAATATGCTGTTACAGGATATTATCTGCACATGATATAATTATTATATTGGGTGGTGATAGAGGGGAGTTATGAAGTAACAAGTTAGAAAAAGTTGGAGAAATAATGAAACCCAATGGAATTTCACTTGGATAATTTTTTATGTTGTATATAATGTTCATGTATCTGACCTGTGTTTGATAACATGACTGTAAGCGTGCTAGCAATTTCTGGTGGGTTTGTGCACTGGTTTATAAATGTTGATGAGATTTGATTGTAGGTGTGTGATGAAGACTGTTGATTGATGTCTATTGTGGCCAGATATATTCTAAAGGTTTTCATTGCAATAAGAAATACACTACAAACACATACAGTATACAGGTTGACAATCTTTTATCTGAAATCCTTGGGGCCAGAGGCATTTCGGTTTTTGGAATTTTTCGGTTTTCAGAATGGTTATTTTTTTTTTTTTTTTTTTTTTTTTAATGTGTATTAGCCCATCCGGGCATAGATCACTGACCCACATTGGTGCCTGGGGGTTGAAAATATAATACAAATTATAATAATAATAATAATAATTCATAGGTCTAGGTCATGTTTCTCACTTTTGATCTTTTTTTCATTCTTGTACAGTGACGCCTCCATTAACGAACTCAATCCGTTCCAGAAGGTCGTTCGTTAACCGAAAAGTTCGTTAACCGAAACCATTATTTCAATGGGTTTTTGGGTAATTGGTTCCAGCTCACCGAAAATTTCCTAAATTCAACAAAAATGGTAGAAAAGTTCACTTACTTTGAGGTGTGTATGTAGAAGGCTCCTGGATGATGATGATGATGATGATGGGAATTAGAATGGGGGTGGAGGAGAAGGAAGAAGAAAAGGCATTGGGGTGGAAGAGAAGTCACCCCATGGCACCATTTCATCCATAAAATTTTAGTTCTCTTGGTGTATTTCAAGATTATTTTCTTTATATCAACACGGCACTGCATTATATATTGTCAATATGTAAAATATATTTCAAAATGACCAATAATTTGCTTGGAAACACAGAAAAAAAGCGTTTAGTTGAAGAGAGTCTCAAGCAAGATGTTACCTCCAGTGAAAACAGAGAGAGACTAACTCCTGTTTGCTGTGTTAAGAGGCTGGATGCCGCGCATTAAACTAGTCACTTTACCTTCAATTATGTTCAATAATTGTTAAAATGACTAAAAAATTGAATATTAAACTTTTAAAATTATTGAATAGTATAAACTTCTTGATATTTACTAAAATAGTAAGGAATTTAAGCCCTAGAACCGATTAATGTATTGGCGGACTGATACTAAAGCTGGTTGCCCGGTCAGTGCAAGCGAAAACATGTTGAGGTCGGTTCGTAAGAACTTCGTTAACCGAATTTTTTTCGTTAACCGAATTGAAGATCCTTATGGAAGGCAGTTCGTTAATCGAAATTACGTTAACCGAGGTGTTCGTTAAACGAGGGGTCACTGTATTTCTTTACTGTATTATTATTATTTTATTATTACAATATTATTATTATTAATTATATTATTATATTTTATTATTATTATTACTATTATTATTATTTTTATTATTATTATTTTATTTTGGTGTATTTTTATTAAAAAATTTATTTACTATGAATAATTATTATTATTATAATTATTATTACTATTACATTTTCGCCCCCAGGCCCTGATGTGGGTCAGTGATCTGTGCCTGGGTGGGCTAATAATTCCTGTTTAAAAAAAAAAAAAAAAAAAGATCCACAAAAAACTTTCGGTTTTTAGAGCTTTTCGGTTTTTGGAATTTCGGATAAAGGGTTGTCAACCTGTATCTTTTTCTTCATCTGTTGAATAGGTTTGGCAAAAGTTATCATAGTTGTCAATTGTCTGCCTCTCACATATAAGAAACAAATATGTCCCATATTTTACCATGCGTGTGTCATCCTGGAGAATGACTCACCTTGGTCCTGTGGCAGCCTATATATGTCCTCATGTTTTATCGGATCTTTTTGTCTTGTTTTGTTTTATGTTTTTCACTTTGGGATATTGTGTATGTATTTAATTTTTTTTTATACAGTACCAGTATTATCAAGAAATATGGTAAATCAGTTGAGGTTGTTTGCTTGTAGAGAAATTTAGGGAGTATGTGTGTTGCCATTGATGGTTACTGTTGATAGACACATTGATACAGTAGCGCCATTGATGTAGTTTTATTTAGAGCGTAATAAGTCTTGCAGTCGATGGTTACTGTTGGTACACACATTGACACAGTAGCACCACATCCCTGACTCAACAGAATTTTTTAATGTCATTTTCCTTCTCTTCATCTATCTCCTTATTGATATCTTTCTATCCTTTTTTTCCTTAGTCCCTTGTTTTCATAAACTTATTCCTCGTCCTTTCCACTCATTACTGTATTTTGAAGCAAGGGGCTGCCACCTCACTTAATGTAATTTCCAAATTGTCATGTAGGATTGTTCAGAATTATGTCAAGTATTGTTAATGAGTCTTTAACTTTTGAAGTTGTGGATATGGCCAGTAATTTAATGCATAAGGAAAAATTTATATATGTACCCATACCTAAATACCTGTATGTGAAAAGACATTCCAGTACTGTACACAACACTATTACTGGTCAAATAGGCCTCAGTCCCCTAATCTACATAAAAATAATCATAAGGACTGGAACCCAGTCCTAATTGATCCCAAACAATGGATTTCAGTCCTAATGGTCAGACTAGAATTAGTTTGGACCTTTTAGGACAGGAACTCATTTGCCTGCAGCCCATTATGATAATGATCTATCTCAGCTTCTTTCTGTCTTCTCAGTCCTCTACTCACTATTATGTTACTGTTTCCTAAAATATATATTTTTGATGATTTCATACTTAGTTTAATTTGTTATACAGAAAATTTTCTACAGCCATTGAAGACACAAAATTAGAATGCACTCTAAACCTCTCCTTGCTTTGAAATTGTTTCATCCCGGAGCCAATCGTATTTACAAATTTGTCAAAATTAATATTTTATGTTTTGAACAGTATTGATAATATAAAAAGGGTTTAACATTAAGAGGATGTTCAAAGGGTCTCATTGGTAAATATGTATATACAGTATATATGCAATGAAATGTATGGTTTCAGAAAAAAAAATATGAGCCATGTAAATATTCATCAATGATACAAATTTTCCTCCCACATTTTGGCACTCCACAGACCCAACGCCGTACCCTCGGCAGCCTGCTTGCTCAGGTGGCGAGTGCCAGCAAGGGTAGTTTGAAGCGTGCCGGCTCAGCCCATAACCTGGCCCCCCCAAACCCATCCCCTGGTGGAACACTCTCACGTTCACTTCCCCCTTCCCCTCCCCATTCACCCCAGCATAGTAGGAAGGTAGGAGTAGTTGTTGAATGACTGTAACATGATCACTTTTTATTTGTTTAATATATTTAACATAAATACATTTGAACATATATTTCCAGATCTTTCCGAATTTCCAAATGATTGATGGTCATGTCACAGACATTTTCTGCTTTTTTCTTTAATAGGTCCCAAGTAGAATTTGTTTTTCTTAATAATATACTGTATTGTACTTGTGTTATATGTACATCAAGATACACACAGTACATGCACACACATGCACAAAATATATCAACTATAATGTGAATGTTCTTTGTATATATACAGGTACTCCCTTGGTTAATATGATGAATACATTCCTACAAAAGTATCATGCCAAATTAAAACATGTAAAGGGAAATTAATACTCCCATAGGAAAACGTGTACAAATTGAGAGTTGTTTGTTTTAGACAGAGATTATGTGCTTAGTACAGTATGCATAAAGCAGCCAAAGCTTAAAAATACAAACACCTTGGGACCAAGCAGTGTGCAGATTTTTAAAAGTACTGTACATGTTTTTAGTGGCATGTATATACAGTCAACCCTCGCTTTACGCGGTCCCACTTTACGCGTTTCCACGTTTACGCGGTACCCTGCCGAACACGGAATGCTCACTTTCCGCGGTGTGTGTACCCTTTTACGCGGAGAGCGGCGCGAGCAGGGTGCGCACAAGGTCGCCCAGTCATCAAAACATTACCGAGTTCTTCACCCGCCACCCACCACAGCCGGCCCAAGTCAGTGATAGTGATAATGATAGTGAGGATATGGACTTATGGACTTTGAGGGGTTTGACAAAGAGGCCCTGCAAGCCTCTGTGGTGGATAGTGATACAAGTGATACAGGTGAGGGCCAATAATCTGCCCTCTGCCTCGGAACCAACCCCCCATCCCCGTGTGCCCAGCCATCTTTTCTACTAATGTAAGTGTTAAAAACCTAATATTATTGATATTTCTCTTAATTATTAATTGTGTGTGCATACCATCATTAAGAAGTTATTTTTACTACAACGAGGTATTGTGTCTGAAAAAGTGGAGTTTGGGGTTGGCCCGGTCTCTATTTCAATTAATCCCATATGTTATATGGTTCACTTTGCCGGGTTCAATTGACCCAGAAGTATATATATATATATATATATATATATATATATATATATATATATATATATATATATATATATATATATATATATATATATATATATATATATATATATATACACGTGTATGTATGTATACTGTATATATAATTTTTGGCTGTGAAATTTTAATAATTTCTATTTTTTCTCTGATTTATACTGAACTATCAGAGAGAGAGTTATTCAAGTTAGCCTTAATTGCAAGACTTAGTGGCATACTGTACTGTACTCATCATGCATCCCACCTTTTGTTAATGTGATCATACTGCTGAGCCTTACATAATTATGCAGTAAAGAGATAGATACTATTGCTGTTTGTTTATGATTTGCTGAGCTTTTCATTTGAGTATTGATTTTCACTAAAAAGAGAATAGAATAGGAATCGTTTTAGTAAATGTCTGCATGTGTTATTCTTATATAGGGGAAGATGGACAATTTGTTTGAAGTGGCGCTGTTATATTTTAAAATACTTTTGCAGTTTAGTAGATAAATTTAATTTTAAGTTTCTTCCTATGTAGGGAGGCAAATGATCCTACTCTTATTCCTTAAATGGATTTTCTGCAGAAAAAAGAAGAATACCCAGTTCCCTAATTGAAGTTACATGTAATAACAAAGAATCTCTTAATTCCATTAATTTCCTGTGTAATATGAGATTATGTCTCCTTTTTCATACCTATTATATACATGGGAATTGATCCTAAAATCTTATTTTCTAGCAAAGCACACCACAGAGACGAGTTGCTCATTGCTGCACACTCCCCACTGTGGGTTTATCCTATAACCATTCATCTCTCTCTGTCTCATTCATCATTCTCAAATGAAGAAGATTAGATACAAAGGTTTATCCTCCAGGGGCAGGAGGCAAAATCTAAACATATGTCCACCTAGTCAGAACAAACACTAGCCCAGCTACATCAATGCTAATTCTAGGACCAACCTGCCATTATGGATCATATTAAGTTTCCCAGCTGATTGTGCATGATCCCAAGGGAGGGTATACAGGCTGATCAGCCATGGCTTTCTTTACAAGATCGGATTTTAGGATCACCCCATTTTTAGCTAATACCCTCCACTGAGTGGCTCTTGTTACAACATCCAGCTTGAAAAGTGGAAGGTGGTGCTACAAAAACTCTAAGACTAGACAAATTATACACCCTGGGAAAGCTGCTCCAACCACACAACATAGATGGAGTTTGGTACTAAACCAAACCTGATAACTCGCTATTATCAGTATCCAGAACCCCAACAACAGTGGGCATTATATATGCCCTGCCTGGAACTGGGCTAAGTACTAATAATACAAATCTACCTTAAAGGTGTACTGAGGCATTTGTCTGCTCTTTCTTTTACTGCTGCTAATACTAACATGTTGATTCAGACTCAGAAAGGGTGGATAAAATGTAAACGAACCTTACTAAGTGTTATATGCAAGACAAAATATTAATCTTATCTAATGATAACACCTAAAACTGTCAGTACAAGTAGTCCCTAACAACTATCCTTAAGTGTCAGAAGAGGTGAAAGCACTTAACTCTTGTCAGCTGAGGACTAGATGTTATCCAAGATGGCAGATTGGTCCTGGGATCTAAGTAAATGTAAATGAGTGTGTGAGCTTTGTCGGGGTGGACACAGACTCTAATTAGACCTCCTACCACTACAGGGTAACCCTAACATTTAATCTCCCTTAATGAGGGTAATGAATGTCATGGGGAGGTATAGATGTTTCAAAGATCAGCCCCGGCTGCCAGCAACTATAATAAGTACCACTCAACAGAGAGCATCAAATAGAAAAGCAGAGTAAAACCTTCCTTCTCCTTCTCTTTCTTCTTTAAACTTGAATTAATTGTTGAGGAACAAAATTAAATACATGTATCTCCTTACTTTATAACTAAATTCACTCAAAAATTTTATTATTTTTCTGATTTACCTTTTTATCATTTAGGCACAAAGACTCCATCCTGTATGTGAAATTTTCATTAGATTATCAACCCTCTTCCTCTATAGTTTTCCATAAATATACAGAAGTTAATTTTTCTGGCTTTTGAAAATAAACAAGTACCTCTTCCATTCTGTAGAGGATAAAAAATATTACATGCTCTTTTTTTTTAATGAATTTCAACTGACTTACCTATCTCCCTGTTTCATTATTCCTGACAGGCATCTCTTAGCGAGAATTCCAACCTATTTGTAGTCGACTGGGATGAAGGAGACAGCATTCAATCAGTGTTAGACCGTTTACTGCTCTTCCCACACGATGAGCGCTTGGTCACTTTAGCCAGAGATTCAGCTAAGGATCTACACTCACACTTACCTGGGCCAGAACGTATGGAGAAAATCAATGAAACAGTAAGAATGACTATATTCCAGTTATTAATTGTGTTTTAAGTAGACAGTCTTGAATAAATTAGATGCAGTAATTTAATCCCTTCACTATTACATGTCTGAACTAGCCCATGCTTATATAACAACAATTATAAGTGGTAAATGTACTGTATAATTACTGAAGAGACAGCAAGAGATGGGTTAATTTGTTAAATATAGCCATGATCATTGGTTCTTAGCCCAGAATTCTAGCATCAATACTGCACAGTGTTGCTAAAGCTTCACATTTTTTCCCATACATTATTAGCTTGATTATTACTAATTATAAATTTACAGTTGTGAGAGTATACTGTACACAACTAAATTCATGTTTTCTTGAAAAAAAAATTCTCATCCCCAGTACAGTGCAGTACTAGGATGTCTTGTGGAAGCAAAAAAAGCAAATTGAAGTCATAATTTAATTAGTGTTTATGTCAATGAATACATGTACTACAGGCTTTAGAATTACGTAATGTTAATTTTGGTTAAAACTAGTTCCTGTAAAGTACAAAGTAGTTTTTTTTATAACATTTCATAAGGCAGATACATAGGTGCTTTGTGGTGTTTCTAAAGTGCCATTTTCAAATATCAAATTAATTCTCTCCTATATATTATTAAATCTTGCATTGGTTCCTAAAGTTGGCACAGTTGCAAACATCAATTGATGGCGAAGGAGAAGTCAGAGTGGACTTAGCACGACAAGAAAGAGAAGCCAGTGAAGCTGGTGATGCTCTGACCCGAGCCAGCATAGCACTTCAAATCTCTCAATGTGATGCTCGAACTCAGGCTCTGGCTCTACTTACCCTACACTACTGCACAGCCCTCCAGTACTGTACCACATATCCTAAAGTAAGGAAACTCTTTAAAAATTTCATTCTGCTTCAACACATTGTATAAAAAAATTCATATTATACGTGTGATTCATTTAAATCTAATAAAAATGCTTATACTGTATACTTGTTAGTTGCATCTAAGAGGACTTATGCAATGGAAATGGTATCAGTTTTAATGACTATACTGTACTTGCCTTGTAAATAACTGATAGAAAATACTGTACAGTACTACTCTATGGTGAAAGTACAGTAAAATGTTGACAAGATTGTCACCAGACTATTATCTTTGCTGCTTTCTTGCTTTTGAGCAGATTGCATCAAAGGATACAGAAACTTTACTGAAGGGAGGAGGGGATATTAAAGTAAAATGTAGACTGCAAGAGAAATTGATTAAGACAGCAAGCAAAAATATCACTCATACTTGCTTATACTTAATATATTTAGTAAGTATAAGTACTGTATTGTTTAAGTAAGTATGAGTGATATTTTTGCTTGTTGTCTTAATCCATTCCTCTTGCGGTCTACACTTGACTTGCAACACTTTTCCTCCCAGTCCCCTTTGATGCACTCTGCTCAAAGGTAAGGGTAAAACTATCATTTGTTAACACAGAACTTTACATAATCTCAATAGGGTGATGGCCAGCAGGAGTTTGGGAAGGAAGCTGGTTTAAATCAAGATGTTGACCTCAGTAACAGTAAAGATTCACCAAAGAAAAAACAGAAGCAAGCCGAAGGGTGACGCGGTAAGTATCGTCGTTCTCTATTCAAGATCAAGAAGAGACTGTCACCATGAGAAAAAGATAACACAAATGAGGTACAGTACAGTATTGGTAAATTTTGTGAATGACAATTTAGGAAGCATAATCTTGAAAAATTAAATAAATAAAATAATTTAATAAACATAGTTTGTTAAATACAGACATAAATCGTATTGTACATCAAAAACAATATTATAGCAATGATTATTAATATAGAAACATGCAGTTTTATATTAAGTAAAAAACCTATTACTGTATACTTGTGCAACAGAAGAACAACAGTAATGCAAAAACCCTTTGTAAAATACACTATTCAGTATTCCTTAGTGAAAGACTGAAGTACTGTACAGTACAGTATAGAGGTACAGTACTGGTATATTTGTACTACAGATATTAACAGTACAGTACTCCTCATATTCACTAAATTTTAGATTAGATGGATATTTATATACCTTATCAATTTATAAATAGTGTAATGAAATACAGAACAGTGTATAAATCTGAATGACCCTTTACAGTACTGTGGATAATAATTGTAATTTGTTCAAGTAAAATCAAAGCCAAGAACAGTACAGTACTGTACAGTTACTCCTCAAATGCATATGAATTACTGTACTGTACAGTATATGGATATGTCAGTACAGTACAGTATTCATATCTTAATTATACAAATTATAAATGTGTAATCATAATAAATTTAAGGGTAATTGCATACACTGTATGGTATTAGAAACCACGATGCTCATGAATTAGTGATATTAGAATTTACTCTTCACAGTGAAAACTAGAAAACCAAGTGTATTACAAGCCAGTGTTCCCTTCATACAGTGGAGAAGTGCTTGAGGTACTGCCAGTTTCTTGGTCTTTTTAATAAGTAATACAGGTACTTTATTTGCATTTTACACATGTAGCTAATAATTTTACATTTCTGTAATACATCTAGGTGTACCGTACTTAAATGATGGCCGTTAAAAGCTTCACGTGCAATTGACACTTTAGAAGTTCATAATTTTTTTTTTTTTTATACTGTAGTGTATTTATATGTCATATTTCATATAAATGTTAAGTGATAAGCAATGACTCTTTTGTACCACGACTCAGGTGTTAGGGTGAGTCACCATTGTGTTTATAACAGACATGTACGTGTGTCTCAACCAAAGAAATAATGAACATTAGGATATAGAATCTACCTGGTGCTGGGAACGAAATAACAACATATAACTTCACTAATTAAAACTTCCTAACTTCTAAGTTTACATTAACTACAGGTAAATCATTGCCTGTTTTGACAGTTACTTCTGTTATGTAAAACTATTTTCTAGTTGTTATGGTTGAAATGAAGCATTTGTCTTAGTTATGTTGTACTGTACAGCAATTAGCATTTTCGTCGAAGGAGACACTCAACTGTCAACAAAATTCTCTTGACTGAATACTTTATTACTTCATGTAGCTACAACTTGTACTCATTTGCATTTCATTTCTCAAGCTTTGTGTAATCAAAAGCTTGCAGCTCATTTATGGTAATACCTTTTCAGGTTTTGAACAAGCCAAATAGTTACAGAATAGAGCTCCTTTTTATATGTGCATGAAAAGACATCAGTTTTGTAAAGATATCAAGTAAATAATTTTTATGTGATGCTAAATGTGACAAAATAGTCTTTTCGAGTGCAACATGGTCATGAGTAGCTATTTTTTAAGTGTTTGCCTCTTTAGTACTGTTGTTGTAGCAGATAACGAAAAGAAGGTACTGAAGTAAACTCTGGCCAGATAGTAACTGGCATTTAACTCTTACATTTATAAGTGTTAATTATGTTGCTGGTAAAGTTTTTCATCGATGCTGATACTTGTGAATGAGACTATATATTTCTTCTCTAGTCAGAACGTTGGTGATTACAGGAAATTCATCAAGACCATCCCATTTTGCACCACCTTTGAGGATTACTTTAATAAATTCTGTTGTTTAACTATTGCACCTCCACTAGAAAATATAACATTTTCCACAATACTCTTACCTAGCTTTATTAGTCAGCTGAGTGATTACCGGTCCCAAGTGGTCGATAGTGAGAACTGTTGGCCAGTTCTTGGTCACTCATTTTAAAACCTATGTACTGCCACAATATGGATCTTGATACAGTATATTGTATGTTCTTCATTTAAAAGTTAATTGTTGTTTCTTCACTCGGTTATTTCTTACATTTTAGGAATTGTCTGTCTATCAATATGATAATCTTTACTTCTCTCCCACCTTTATATGCAGTGGATTAAGAGGAACACTTACATGTTATTAATGATCTATTAGTAATCTTTATTTTCTCCCACCTTTGAGGTGGATTTAAAGGGAGAGAAATTTCAAACACGGAAGAAATAACGGAGTTTGGTGCAAGACAAGTTTAGAAAGTGACAGGAAGGATTAAAACAACAACACACATATACTTGTCCATATCCTCAACTTTGATTTTCAGTATGTAAAGTGAGTCCTTAGTCTTCACAGTGAAGAAATTTTTCCTATTAATGCTCCATTCTTTGTAATTTTTAGTACTGTGACTGGAGACTGATCAACGAAGAAAGTCTTTGGCAATAAATGATTAAATTTGGTTATTTGATGTTGAATAGGTTTGCTTCTTTCACAAAAATTAAATTTGGTACTGTAGTTTGATAATACAGTATATACCAGTAAGTAGATTTGATCCTTTGATGATAATTGGATTAAATTTCTTAACATTAACCAGAATTGATTACTATTTATCATCAGTTTCATATTTAATAACCAAGTTTGATCTAGTTACACAAGTCTACCCACATTCACAACTATACAACTTTCATGCTAGTTGGTTTAAGAAGTTTTATGTTTAATTACCTGTATTCAACTGGTAGAGGACCTCTCAACACATCTTAACTCTTTTATGGATTTTACGTCATATTTTTTGTTTCCACGTTCTTATCGATCTAATTCACTCCTATTGCTATGAACATCACTTTTATATCATATAGTACAACTTGGTTCCCAAATGAGTCTTAATAATAAGATTTAATTGAAGCATAATACTGTACCACGTAAGTGAAGATACACCACAGTGATATCCCTGTTAGCCAGAATAATTGGTGCAGAGCTCTTCCAGGAATGAGAGATTTCCGGGTATTGAGATGAATTTCTCATCCACTGAAAAAATCCCACATCCCCAGAATTTTTTAGGGTACTGGGGTAAATTTGATTATTCACGGGTAGAACCATTGTATACCTGCTCATCATTCACGGGCAGGTTTCGTTATTCACTGTTTGTGGTCATGTTTTCCTGTATCTCCGCAGTCCATGGGACGTCCGTGTTTTGTGTTTACTGTACAGGACCGTATCATGCGGGACACCACGCTCTCTCAAGTCTCCTGCGTCCGTCACGGTAACACTTGCAGCTCTGCCATTATTGCTCTTTTTGGTGACTTTTTTGTCCTTAGTGATGTCTCAGGGTGAGTGTATCAAGTGCAAAGAGGCAGAAGAAAATTATTATTTTAAGTAAAATTGTGGAGTTGTTTGATCACCTTGCTCGGAGTGATAGTGCGGCAGCTGTGGGAAACCATTATGATGTTAATGAGTCAACTGTGAGCTCAATCTGGGAAAATGAGGCAATTATTCATGCAAGTGTCTCTGCAACTGCCCCAAAAAGTGCTACAGTAACTTCAAACCCGTGACACTAACATGGAGAAAATAGAGCATGTCCCCACATCCACCTAACTCCCTTTCAATATCTCCTCATCATCATCATCATTTTCATAAGTGTTTACAGTACATTACTGTGTTTTTACATATATTTTATTTACTGTATTTAACATGTACACTATTATTCATAAAAGGTACCTGTTCGAGGGTGTTGATCCCCAAACCCCAATTTTCCCATAAGTTCTTAAGTTTAACATTCTTGGATTTGACATTCACAGTGTTTTTCAGGAACCTAACCCCTGTGAATGTTGAGGGTTTACTTTATACAATACATACACCTCTACACACTAGCCTACAGTCAGCTTACAATGTCCACTCTGCTGAATGTACAGAAGAGTATATGTAACTGTATAGTATATGTAACTGTAATCACTTTTTACATCTTAACATAGCTTTAACAGCTAGCCTTGTACAATGGCAGTAGAATAAGAACTAAGCGTGCAAGTTGCCCAAGCAGCTAACCCACCCATGCCGCTCAGCACGTGGGGACACATCGGGGCATGATGCAATCTCTCGGAACTCCCAGAATGGAGAGGTTTGGAGAGATTTTCTCAGATTTTTTCCAGAAAATGCAATGAGCCTGATTTTCATTCTCGGAAACTCATTCCCATGCCCAGAATGGAGAGAATTTTTCTGTCTCAATTTCTATTCCACCCATTGGAGAGTTCTGGAGACCAAGGATTCCAGCTAATGGGCAGATTACTTATGTATTTAATATACCTGACAAGGGATATTTTTACTTTTTAACCATCTTACTCTGTGTAGACAAATACAACAGGAAAAGTTAAAACTAATTGGAAGATATATTGAATATTTTAGAGTGAGTGATGGGGAAGGAGATACTGTACTGTGTTGGTTAGCAAAGTAGATACTGTGTATTAGGGTAGTGTGGAGGAAGGGAAATACAGTGCCATGACCAGTATAGTTCAGTACTGTATTAGGATAGTAATGGGAAGTGAAGTGGTGTGTCAAGGAAAGAAGGGGGAGGGAGGTGCTGTATTAAGGAAAGAAGGGGGAAGGGAGGTGTTGTGTATCAAGGAAGGAAGGGGGAAGGGAGGTTCTATATCAAGGAAGGAAGGGGGAAGGGAGGTGCTGTATCAAGGAAGAAAGGGGGGAGGGGAGGTGCTGAGTATCAAGGTAAGAAGTACAATAAAATAATTGTATCACAAGATTATTTTACCTATTTTTATTATAAATACTTCAACTGTTTACACAAGCTTTATAATTTTAGATTTTTATGTTCTGAATTTTCGTATTCATGTAAGATGTACCTTCATAGATCTTCATGTCAGATGTACCATAATAGTTCTGCCTGACAAGTCACTTAGAATTAGCAACATAATGATGGTCTTTAGCATAAGTAGCAGATAATGAGTGGAAACCTTTTAAGGGTGTTCCTGTCCCGTGCTATATCTTTCTCTTATATGTAGAAAAACTGCAGAAAAGTCTTCATATATGCCAAGAACTTCAGTATAGCATTATTGTTTATGAAATTGACATTCAATTACACTAGTCCAATTATAGAAGTGATATACAGTTACCCCAATCATAAAGGACATACCTGTAGTACTGTTATAGGTATACTACAAGAGACAAAGTTACCCAGTTATTAATGACATACAGTTAGAGCCCATTTCTAGAAGTGTGGTATAGTAGTTAGCCCAGTTATTATTGACATACAGTTAGTCCAGTTGTAGAAGTGATCCACAGTTACCCCAGTTATGACATTGTTAACCTAATTATAGAAATGATAAAACGGTTAGTCGAGCACCGAGTTCCCATGTCTGTAAACATCTACTTCATATTCAGTATTAATAGAAGTACTTATGGTCACACTACAAGCACAGGAGTGTCACACGTTACACATAATTGAAAGGAATGTTAGATGAACTATGAAAATATACAAGAAATTTAACAAATGATGTAAGTTCTATAATATCATAAGTTTCTGTTACGTGCAGGTACTACATTAAATCAGTACAGTGGGGTATGCTATAACGAACGGATCCTACTACGAATATTCCTATAACGAACGGTTTTACCTATAAAATTGAGAATGCTATAACGAACATTATTTAAATTTTTTTTATTTTTTTCTAATTTATTGTTTTTTTATTACAAATATTAATATTCTTTATTTCAGGGGTTTAGATGCATATTTATGCACTTTTTTACAATTTTTACAATTTTATATTATATTTTTCAGTGTTAAGTGGTTGTATTTGGGGGCCTGGAACGGATTAATCCTATAACAAACGAATGCTATAACGAACAAGGTTCTAGAACCAATTAGATTCGTTATAGCATACCCCCACTGTACTGTTGTCATGTACATTCCACTGATGAGACTGCTGTCCTGTACATTGGTTTGGTGCTCAAGAAATAACCTTCTCGATCAGTAATAAGCAGGAATATTACAAAATTAAAAAGTATGTAACCCAGATCAAAGAAAGAAGTCACAAATATAGACTACTGATAGCTGAATTTGACCCAAGGCAGAAATAAAAAGTGATAATTTGTATGGTCACAGAAAGGCTAGATTTGGGTCTTTTCATTGGATTTTTTTTTCAGCTCACTCCTTACATTTGTGTCCCATTCTTAGATCAGGTCACAGGTATACCCAGTAAAGAAAGTCTCGCACGGGGGGGGGGGTCTGCTGACTTCCGTAATGACCCATACATCACCTGATGTGTTCATGTTCAGTTATACCATCAATTATATATACACGGCAGGATATGTCGTTGGAGATGGGTGGGTTATGGACGTCGCATTCGAACTATATCACAAAAACTGGTTTTTAGAAAAAACCGGCTTTTTGTTCAATGCTCTGAATGCGACGATCAGCAAGAATACCCGAGTAGGAGGTGGAGAGGGAGGTGACTTTGCATACAAGGCTCCGCTGATTTAAGTCCTGATTATATTATAAATTATTTTGAAAATTTCCAAAATTAAGAAAATTTACCGGAAGGTAAAATATTAATTTACTCAGAAAGGATACTCACTTTATTCTAATGAGGAAGAAGGTCCTGGTAGTGGAGATTGAATAGATGGGGGGAGGGGAACCCAGCACCACCACATTTGAAGCATCTCTCAGAGATAGATGAAGATAGCTGTCTTTGAAAGTTTTTGAAGATCTCCAAAAGCCCATTTCCTTGATCTGACTGAGACTCATGTGCTGCAGAAAGGCCACACACCCTGCATATTTCCTATTGTCATGTGCCAAAAATTTCTTGCCAGGGTCTGATTGATTCACTAATTGATATAAGGATTTTGTCCAAAAACCGTTTTTTTTTTTTTAGAAAAAAAAAACGGCTTTTTTTTTTTTTTTTGCATGACTTACGGTAATTTGTTATTGGTCCAAAGTGAAGTTTGCTCAATAAGTTAAAATTGAAGATTATACTTGACATCTTGTAGTACCAATATGATAGACAAAATTCTTCTTTGCTTTGAGTACCATATCTTGTAATACAGTGAATAATAGCATTAGCTTAGAAAATACAAGATCTTTAATGTAAAAAAAATTTTAGAGTATAGTACAGTATAGTATTTTGAATTAAGAACATAGTGATAATTTCTCACATCAACAAATTGTGATTGCGCAGGTCCCAAGTAGTTTTCCCAATACAGTACACAAATGATGTGCTTATGTGGTAATATAATCAGGGTTTTTATTATCTAGGACACCAAGCATTTATTTTCAATTGCGTACCTATTAGTATTTTCTATAAACACCGAAACCGGATGATTGATCTCATTCTCTCTATCTGGTAAAAGCAATTCAGAGTTACAATCAGTTGACAGAGAAGTTTAATCATTCATTATCATCAGCAAGTGTAGAGCCTGTAGTGGTTCCCAAGCTGGGGGGATAGGGGGCACGTGAATAACATATACCGTGTACTGTATATTGAAATTCTTTTTATTAGGATTTTTTTTAATTGTGTAACATTGATATTTTCTCTTTGTATATTAAAAAAAGTATGATATGAAATGTGAGGTACTGTAAAGAAGTGTTTCCTTAAACAGTAATTTCCCAAAGTTCTGGAGTTACAAACTTGACCAAAAAATATAAATCTTCCCAACTTTGAATATTTCGCTAAACACAAAATAATTTTTTTTTATTGGGCTATACAGTAGCCTATGAAGACCTTTAAAAGTTGAACATGAAATGGTGGTATATGAGAGTACTGTATCCTATAGTACTGTAATAATGTTTTATGCTAATGAGAGTTCTTACAGTATATCTAACATTCCCATACCATTCATTAATTTGGCTTTTTGGTTAAATGATATTCAAAATTGTGGCATTCTACTATAATTGCAAGTTTATTGTACAGTATGCATATTTTCCAAAATTCAATCAATCCATCAAAAGAAAAATTCCTTTAATATTGAATTATTGTTCTGTACCTATCTTCTTCATATCTTTGAACTATGAAATATTCAGCAGAAGTGCTCAAAAATCATTGGATATTTTGCTTGCTGGTGTAGCCATCATGCTAAGTGTGACAGTTTCACATTATGTTTCCCCTCAAAAATGAGATCTGTATGACAAAACAAAGGGCTTCCTTAGCCAGTACAGAATGTCATGAAAATACGATAGTAAAATTAAGGAGGCAGACAGGGAAGAGAGTTAGAAAAGAAAGAGATGTAAATGTACTGTACATGGAAACAACAATTGTTAAAGTATTATGAACCACAAATCAGTATGCAGTATGCATGGCCAAGGGAAAGTTCCATCAAAGAAAAAAAGGAGAAACCTTTACTTTTCCTCAGCAGTGTTTATCGCAGTAGAACCCAATTGATTT